TATATGTGTATATATATATATATATATATATATATATATATTTTTTTTTTTTTTTTACAGCCTAGATAACATCTTTCCAAAATTGCAGTTTGCAAATGAATCTCAGTGGAACATCTCAGACTTTATATACAGTTGCAAGTCATGGTAATATACAACTAGACTGCAGATCAACCTTGTTATTATGAAAACCAAATAAGACATCATTGGAAAATGATTGAAAAACCATTTCTTAGGCAATCAATGTACATTCTATTCATCATATCCCCTCCATCAAATATCTTTCCACATATTGAAACTTATGACCTTAGTATTCCTTGCAAGGTGTGTAATTCTGGCAAAGGATTCATGCAAACCACTCTGATATTTTATATTTTATTTTGTTTTTAAAAATGTTCGTCATGACTCACAAAATTGATTTCATGACCTACTAAATGGGTCACATGCATAATGTGAAAAACACTGACATAGAGACGTTTTCCTCTTTTGTGTTAGTGGCTTGACTATGTCTGCTTGATGACCAAAGAAACTAGCTGATCTGCTAAACTGCTGGCTGATACAGAGACTTTCTTGAAGTGGTAGGTATATATCATTCCTGATTTTCATTCCTGATACTTTTTGATGGGAAGGGTTTTTAAGAGTGCCAGTATTGTCTGATCTCATGAGGTTCCAATGAGGTTTTCCATGGCTAGGTCAACTATAAGGCTGGAGTTGGTGACATATTTTTAGAACTGTCTTGGAATGCATCCTTGACCTGGGAATAAGACCAGAGATATGACATTAAGCATTACAATACAGAGAAATAGTGTTGCCAGCTATAGGGACCTTTACAGAATCCAAGGTCATGGGTGCTGAAGCAAAAAGCTGGTACCTCTCAACACAATGTTATATAGGCTTAGGTCTTTTTCTGTAAGGCAAACCACCTCAACCAAGATTGGAAGATAGAAAAAATGATGTAAGACCTGGGAGTCGCATCAGGAGATGCAAAGTACATTGACAAAGCTAAACACAGGAAACCATGGAGGAGCACAGCTCATTCACTATATATATTTCCTCTTAGCTCAGTTTGGCCATGCCCATCTTGTAAGTACTTCCCGCACTGCTCTCTTTGAACTTAGGATATTTGGGTCTTATCAGCATAATACAGCACTTCCTTACAAAGCTCTCCATCAAGTAATGCCACTTTGCGGGGGCGGGGGGGGGGGGGGAAGGGTAAAGTCTTACATTTACTGTAGTGTTTATTAGAAATTAAACATTTTAAGTGTTAATAGTTTTATCAGGATTGTTTGCATTAACTAGATTTTCTTATTTTCTGTAATTCTTGATGCTCTGGCATGTGGGGTCTCACTAATCATAGAGGGAACTAATCCTCCCAGGGTTGGGTAATTCCTAGAGACAGCAAACAACTTGACTGATAGCTCAACCCAGGAACACAACTTTCATATGCAAACTAACCAGTCCAGAGCCAGCCCTACCCACACTTTCCCACCCTCCCAAATCAGGTTCTTATTCTCCAGATACTCCCCTGCCCTAACTACCCCAGGGCCAGGTAACCATGAACTACGGACAGCCCCCATGCCCTGAATCCTGGTGAAACTGTTAAGAAAGCCAATCTGAAACCTGCTTACCCTGCTTGACCAATTCCTTCCTGAGAAAACCACAGTACAGGCTTTTCCACATTTCCCCTTCCACCCCCTCTCCCTCCTGCCCAATCCTGGTGCTTCCCATGTGGCCGCCCTGTATGGCATGGCTCGGCATGCCCTACCTCCTGTTTCTAGGGATCTGTATAAAAACTACCTACTTCATGACAGCCATTTCTGTGTCTGTTTGCCTTATCATACCTGATTAAAACAAATCATAGGTAGATCATTTTTACTTCATCTTGGTTCTGGTTATAAAGTTGCATAGTTTGGCCCTAATCTATTTTCCACATAATGTCTGTTATATTTTAGCATAAATTTTGCATTCCACGAGTTCTTCTAAGTCATAGTGTTAAAGCTGAAACACCCGTATCTCGAGATAACTTTTATTACTTGCCTGGTGAATGGATTCCCCCAATCACTTGAGAGGAAGATTGGAATCCTTCAGTTTTGGGGACACACTAAATATTTGTCATTCTAGCTATCACCCATCCTTCACCTGTGAGTGAAACGGTATCATACAGTACACAAGTAAGGTATAGGTTTCAGGAATACCAGGCAGCACGCAAAATGTGCTACAAATTATCTGAATGCCATCGATTTTCATCAGCCTGTCACCACTGTATTTATGTGGTGGCCTAATCTTTTAATAAAGCCAGCTTTGAAAGAGGCATCAGAGTGGATGGTGACCTTGAAACAAGAAAGATGTTGCCAGATGGAGAAGGCCTTAGTGAGATTCTTCCCTGAGACTTCATTACTTATTTTTAACAGTAAACTTGAAGGGGACTTACAGTATGTCATGTATACAGCACTTTTTAAAATTTTAATAAGCTTTATTTTTTTTAAGAGCAACTTTAGGTTCACAGCAAAACTGAGCAAAAGGTAGGGATTTCCCATATATTTCCTGCCCCCACCTATGCACAGTCTTCGCCATCACCAACATCCCCCACCGGAGTGGTACTTGTTACAGCTGATAGACCTACAGTGTCACATCATAATCACCCGAAGTCCACCCTTTACATAAGGTTCACTCTTCGTGTTGTACACTCTATGAATTTTGACAAATGTATGACATGTATCCATTGTTATGGTTTCATACAGAGTATTTTCACTGCCCTAAAAATCCCGTGCCTCTGCCTCCCTTCTTTCCTATCCCCACTCCCACTGCCACCAATCTCTAATAGTCACCGAATTTTTTTTTTTTTTTTTTTACCAGCTCAGCTCCACAGTCTTGCCTTTTCCAGAGTGCCATACCGTTGGAATTATATGTATATAGACTTTTCAGATTGGCTTCTTTCACTTAGTAATATGCATTTAAGGTTCCTCCATGTATTTTCATGACTTGATAGCTTATTTCTTTTTAGCACTGAAAAATACTTCATTGTCTGGCTATAACAGTTTATTTATCCATTCACCTACTGAAAAACATCTTAGTTGCTTCCAAATTTTGGCAACTATGAATAAAGCTGCTATAAACATTGGTTGTAGGTTTTTGTGTGGACAAAAGTTTTCAACTCCTTTGGGTAGATACTAAGGAACCTGACTGCTGCATCGTGTGTACAAGTACATTTTTAAAGAGGATCCCGGCAAAGGTTGTGTATCCTTTTGTTGCTGGAGCTTGTCAATATTGTGGGCACAGATTATGCTTTATAGATAAAGCATAGATGTTGCTCAACTTTTTTTTTTTTTGCAATGGTGCCAGCTTTTGTTAACGTAATTCACACATGCTGACAGACTTCAAATAATGCCAAAGGGACTGCTCTAGGATTTCCTGAGCTGTGATGGCCTACTCTGGTACTGAGTTATTCTGTTGATGTCTCTGATATGAACTGCCAATAAATAGAACCAAGTCAGAACTGAGGGGTAAAGGTGGCTGGTGAGATGGGTTACACAATTTAGTATAATTCAGTGAGAAAAGTGACGTGGGGAGCTGTCAAGATAAGACTATTTGGTCAGTTTGGCATTGGACAAATACTAAATCTTGAATTTAGGAGCAGATATTTTATATGAGACTAAAAGCTTTAAATGGCATTCTAGAACAACGTTGTTGGAATGCAGCTTCAGGAAGGTGGCAGCAGGAGTCATCTGAGAAAACTTTGCTATAGGGAGTAGGGTTAAGTTGTAATATGCAAGAGATCAAAATGTATAACCTTGTCTCTAGGCTAGCAGTCTCTTGGCATAGTTTTCTGTGTTTAGTAATATAAAGCATTAGTGTCAACAGGAAGACCTACAAATAGGGGCAAAGGTCAGGGTTTATTAGGATGGTGGCATTTTTAGGTGTTGGTTGCCTTAGGAGGGGCTTGGAAATATCAACTTGATTAGTTATTATATTATGAATGCTTTAACTAGGACAAGTTGCTAGAGATCTAATGTATATGGTACCTGATTACACTTTAAAAAGAGTACATATGGGGGAATTCAGGGCCTGGTGTGAGAAACAGGCAAAGCTTTTCTTTGGAGGTCTTATGTCCTGTCTGCCAAGGTAGGTAGTAGGACTAAAGAGTTTATGGCAGACGCCTATTGGATGTCACAGCATGGTGGACAGCATCAATATATTAAATCAGAACTAAACTGCTGAAAAAGCAACTGCATCTAAATCTCTTTGATGAATAAAAAGAGCTGGAGAGCAATTCACAACAGCCTTGAAGCAATCTGACTCAGATATATAACTGCCCTTAACAGCTGAAATAGAACATTTATTGATTCTTCCTGTCATACTGAAGGATGCTCACTTGTTTTTAATGTTCCTTCTCTCCACATGAATTTCAAACCACTACAATTTTATCCTGTATGCCACCTCTCCCCAGATATTTTATAGACATTTACCTTATAAAGAAAAACAGTGTTAAAACGTTCTCCAAAGTCTTTTGTTTGCCCTCTCTTTTCTTTATCTATGTCTCTGAAAGGTGCCTTAATGGCAAGTCACAGGAATTTGGAGGGACAGGTTCAAACCTGAGGGTTTTGGTCTAACCGTAAGTTTTGGAACTTTAAACAGAGATATTCTCAATTAGAACTCAATGTAAATCAGAGCATATACATACATTAGCATGAATAACTACATGTGTGATTCCATAAGCCAGATGGGTTCTGCTGGGACAGGTCCTTTCTGGCCAAAACTTCAAAAATCTATAGATGTGTGCACTGATGCTTAAGATGTGTGTGTTGAGGCTGACTGTTGTGGATATATAACCACATTTCAGAGCAATAATGCTCTTTAATTGGGTGTGCATCTATCTTAGCCATTCTTTAGGAGAGAATTTCAATTAAGGTGACCAAATACTTGTAGCTGAAAGTTTCTTATATACCAAGGTGCAATAATAATGACCTGTTCCTAGAACAGTGTTTGTTGTAATGGTAGGTACTCAGTAAATGTATTTGAAAGATTAAATGAGAGAATGACACCTGTAGCAAACTGTACCATGTACATTGTTTTTATTAATCAATGAAAAATAAGTTACCAAACTATATTTGAACAATTTGGTAATATGTAAGACAAAGGTTAGTATGACCTATTCTTTAAAATTGGATCAACGATATTCTATTTCAAAATAAACTGCTTATAATGTTAGATACTAGAAACAATGGTCTTATAAAAACATAAATGTAAACTATATTCAGATTTATCTTATAAAGCCTAACACTTAAATCTACCTGAAAATAAGAAACACATTAAAAAAAACCCTAATATCTCATTTATATTACAATAAGTAATTATTCTTTTAGACAAAAACAATTGTCTTTAAATCATTCTGTTCTTTTATATTTTTACTATTCTCATTTCAATCCAGTTCTCTGTGGGAGTTCATAATCAGCTATGCTTCAGACTGTTATATCCAAAAAGTATTCTTAAAGGGCTTACTCTCTCTCCTCAAGCAGACAATACACCTACAATAATAGCAGACATAATATATTAGGGTATAGACCTGATAGATGTGGGGATGAAAGCATGGGGAAGTCCTTTTCTAACTGAAAGAGGATGCAAGGTAACAGCTAAATGGGAGTCAGAAGCAGAAAATGTTGCAAGTTTGACAGAATAAGGTATGAAATAGTTGTTTACAAAAGTGGTGCTACGAATGGACTAGGAAAATGTGTTAGGATTTTAAGCAGGTCTGCATGATTGCCTTACATGCTTAATGCAATGATCATTATTGCTATGATGCTTGACAGGTGTGGTCTTTAATTCCCTGCCATGAATTTTTACCTCTTAAAGCCTCATCCTATCTCTCTAGGTTTCTCCTTCATCCCATATCTCCATACTATTCTACACTTGAAGCTCTAAGACTATGGGAGTTCTTGAAATACCTCATGCACTTTCATGCTTCTGCTTTCGCTCTGGCTGGTATTCCCCTTGCCTTAAGTCATTTGAAATCCTATTCATTCTTCATGATTTAGCTCAAATGCTACAGCATTCATCCAATCAACTAAGATGTAAGTATTTACGATGTGCCAGGTCCTGGGGATACAAAGCAAGAAAATGGATAGTGATATATACATATAAGGGAACACCTGTTCAGCTGTTACAAGGAATGAACTAGAGTTACATAACACTGACAAATCTTATATTAAGTTAAAGAAAGCTGCCAAAGGATATACACATTTCTGCTTGTTAAAACTATGCAAAACAGCACTATATGTAATCCAAAATTAAAAGCGTGGTTACCTTGGTCAAGAGGGAACATAACGGGACTGGGTGGAGCAGACAAAGGACTCCAGTTATATAATAACTATTTCTCCAGTTGGGTGTCAAGTACATATGTATTAGTTATAGTTTTATTTCAACTTTTTGTCTGTCTAAAGATATTCTATTTTTAAAAGGGATGTTTAAAGCTTGATTCCTTCCTGAAGGCATTGTAAACCTGTCCCATAACCAGTAACTTAAAATTACCTTCTTTCCGTCTCTGGTATTATCCTTTGTTTCCTGTATTGCCATTGTGCACACATCAGTAATACTTAGGCCTCAAGAGTAGGAACTTGCAGGTACGAGCTTTAAGTAGATTAGAATGTAACCCTCTTCCCAGGAGACTCCCGTTTGCTCCAGTTCTCTAGGGACCTAACTAGGCCTAAGAACCTCAGCCTGACCCCTTCATGTGACCCGAGAACATCTTCCCTCGGATCCCGGATCGCTTACCCCTTCCCCCGGTAGATGTCCATTCGCCCCTTGAGCAAAAGCAAAACGTGCCTCCCGCCAACGAACCCCAGAATGTCTCCCTTTAGCGGACTCCGGACCACTCCCACCAGAGGTTGCCTTTCTTCCTTCTCACCTCCAGCCGAGCGCCGCGAACCTCGCGCCTCGCCTGCCGACTCGCGGTGCGCCTCGCCCCCCATTCTCTACACAACACCACTTCCCATCTAACCTCAACACTCACAGAAATCACACTTCCAGCCGGAAAAAGGCTGGCTCGGCCCTCTGCGCATGCGCGGAGCTAAGAGTCGCCCCTGCCCTCGCGTTCGTCTCGCGGTATTGCCTTTTCCCGCGGGAGTTATTTGAGCTTTCTGGCGGTAACCACGCCCTCGGCTGTCCGCGGCCGGCTGACCGAAGTCTGAATTTTGTCTGCAGAAAATCTGGCCGTGGTCAGTCGAGCCAGATACGGCTGAGAGCCGACAGATTCTTACCGGCCGGGTTCTGGCGCCATGGGGTTCTGCTGCCGGGTTCTGCTGCCGATTAAGGAGGCCTTCCAGCTGGCGCAGGAGCCGCATCAGAACCGGGCGAAGCTGGTGGTGGCGCTGAGCCGCACCTACGGCTCGGCGATCCCCGCCACCCCTTGCCGCCCCGCTGGTACACCAGTTAGCACGTTAATTTGTCAGTCTTTGTAAGGGAATTACAGAGATTTTTTTCAATTCTGCTATCATTTACCTTGTTTACTTATTTAGAGAACCATATTGTTCTTTATAATCATAGTAGACTTGTGTCTCTAAGTTAGAAGTTCACCGATTTTTAACATAAATGTGCATTTCATTTAATAGATATAAAATGTATATTAAATATATATATATTTGTATTTCTGCCCTGTAATGATTTTAACAAAACACGTTTCTTAGGAACAAAGTAAGTCAGTGCAAAGAAGTTCATTTTTGTTCCAAACTATTTTTCAGGTTAATATCCAGGTGTCCCCCACTTTTCAAAAATTCAATTTAGGCCACTTCGCTTTTAGAAAAGACCTGTATTGTATTAGTACGTGTTTTCATAACTGAAGGAAATCTGGAGGGTTTTCACTTTTACAAAAAAACGGCGAAAAGCGATAGTACTTGGTATGCTTAGCCTTCAGCGTTTTTTTTTTGCAGGGAGCCTTTACCGAGGCAGCGCGCAGACGCAGCAGCCTGAGTGGCACAGCCAGCCTCCTTCCCTGGAAATACACTCAGCATCTCAGCATCTAGCCCCCATAGCTTGGAACTGTGCCTGTGAGCATCTGTGCTGCATCTCGGTTTATTTTGTGCATTCGTCAGCAAGTGTCCTAAAGTATCAGAAAAGGTTAACATAAAACCAGATGTAATTTTAAGTGTTTTGATTGGGGTGAACGAACTGGGCATTGTGTGTGAGTTGAACTTGCTTGGGTCCACTATTTCCAGGCAGAGAGAAAGAATCTTGAAAGCTGCCAAAGTTACTATTGCTTCTGTTAGTAGCAAAGTGGTCTCAGTTGGCATCCAGCAGTGGGTAAACTGGAAAGTCTATTGCTTGAGCGGACTGATGGGTGTACAAAGCGAGGTGTTTAAGTTATCTTATACTTAAGGAGAAATCGGTCAGTCTTTCTAATAAGCTGAAACAGAAAGCACTTGGACCACGGTGATGAAAGTGTTGCAACAGTAGAATTTGAAGGTAGTCATGGATGGTTTGATTGGTGAGGGCAGGTTCTTACCTTAAAAGTTACTGGAGAGAGTGCTTCCGCTGTTACTGAAGCTGCCAAAAAGTTCCCGGAACTGAAGAAAATAATTACAGGAGGTGGTTATTCATATAAGTGTTTGACCCTGAAGATGATGTTGAAGAGGTTTTGGCATCCCATGACTAAGAACTGACAGATGAAGAGCTGATGCCATTGCAAGAGGAAAGGATACTATTCGAATACTAATTGAAACGGAACACAGTAGTGAACAGCCTAAAAGTAAAGCCCTCCAGGAACTCAACATGAAGCACTTGCATGAGATTTTCACTGTAATTGACAGTGCTGCAATGATAGCAGAGAAGGTATATGACTTTAATTTTGAAAGGGCATGTAGGTTTAGGGCAAGTTTGCAGGATGTTCTGAGTGCCTACAAACAACTGCATGATAGAAAAACGCATGAGGATAAGCAGTCAAGCATACTGTCATGTTTCAAGCCTTCCACATCAGCCACAGACGACGATGAACCTCAACATTTGACGCTGAGGCAGGCAGTTATAGAAGAAGGTGAAGACATTAGTGACCTGCTTGCCCTGACGGATTCAAACAACGGTGAGATGTTAATGGGTGACCCCCTTCCTCTGTCTCCTACATCCCCATCTCCACACGCCCCCACCACAGCCTCCCACATCTCAGCCTAACACACCATCATCACCACCTCTCAGCCTTCCAGTGTGTTGGTGGCTGTCCTCTCGATTCTGGTAAGTGAAACTATACTGAACAGACATTATTTCTACTTTATCCAGGCAGTGTGTTTATCATATCGTACCTGCTTTTACTATATGCTAGTGTTATTTTAGGTTTTATGTGTTATTTGGTATGATTTGGTAGGTTATTTTTTGAGTCTGGAAATGCTCAAACTTTCCCCATATAAATTCATGGTAATTGCTTCTTCACTTTATACCATTTTGGCTTACGAAAGGTTTCATAGAAACATTCTACTTTCAGATATGGGGGAAAACCTGTATTTCTAGCCTTTTATTATAATTTAGTTTCAGAAATAGAAAAAGAGTTAAATACAATAGTTTTAATTTCAACTCTAAGACTTTACATGACTTTGACAAAATCAAAAAGCATTTCTTTGCCTCAAGCTACTACCTTTTTGTTTAAAATTATTTATTTATTTATTTATTTATTTATTTATGGCTGCACTGGGTCTTTTTTGCTGCACACAGGCTTTCTCTAGTTGCGGCAAGCAGGGGCTACTCTTTGTTGCAGTGGACGTGCTTCTCATTGCGGTGGCTTCTCTTGTTTCAGAGCATGGGCTCTAGGCATCTGGGCTTCAGTAGTTGTGGCATGAGGGCTCAGTAGTTGTGGCTCACAGGCTCTAGAGCGCAGGCTCAGTAGTTGTAGTGCACGGGCTTCATTGCTCCGTGGCATGTGGGATCTTCCCAGATCAGAGATTGAACCCGTGTCCCCTGCATTGGCAGACAGATTCTTAACCACTGCGCCACCGGGGAAGTCCCAAGCTACTACCTTTTTTACCTGCAGGATTTCAAAAAGATTCTTCCATATGCTCTGCATTGTTCTGCACTTTTTTTCTTCACTTAACAGTATATTCTGGATATTCCTTCTTATCACTATTTAATTAAACTTAATGCATTCTTTATTTTTTTTCTTTCAGCTGTCATATATTCTGTTTTGTGGATATACTCAGATTTGTAGCCAGTCTCCTATAGATGGACACTTGTGTTGTTTCCAGCCTTTGGATATTAGGAACAATGCTTTAATGAATAAATGTCATTTCTTACATTTGCAGGGGTAACTCTTAGATTCTCTGAAGAGAATTGCCGGTTTAAAGAGGAAATGTTTTTGTAAGTGTGATGAATATTGACAGTTGGCCTTTAAAGAGTGGTCCATTCTGCACTCCCATCAGCAGCGTATGAGAGGTATTGCTTATTTTTAGGTGGATTGGGAGGAACTAGAAAGTGATTGGGGGGATGTTTTTTGATAGACCAGAAAATTTCTAAGTAAAATCCTGAACAGTTTGAGAATAGGAGTTAGAATGATAACATATATGTCAAAAAGAAATTGCTGTGTGATGGGAAGGGTCAATTGTAAAAGGCAGTGTTGAATTCAGACCAGTGCTGTTGTTGTTTTTAACTGAACTGTGCTTTTGATACATGTTTCTCGGTAGATTCAAGGATGTAGAGAAGAATCAAAAGAATCTTATGTGATATTTTAAAATCTATGCTGCCTTGCTCCATGACAGCAGTAACTCAAAAACAGGAGACATGGGTGAATGATTACTCAAGTCTATTCTCAACAATTTATTCTTCTGAATAGATGATTAAGAGTCATTAAAGAGTGAAGATTTTACTTTAATGAACAATTATTCATGTTACCGAGAGTCTTAGGTTAGTGCTAGAAGTAAAGTCTTATCAATGTAGCTTGTGAAGGATTTGTTTTGTATTTTTGGTTGTCAATAAAACATTTTTTCAAGAGGCATTTGTTTATGCCTTAAATATGCTATGATGGTGTATAAATATGAACCTGCAGCGGAGTGAGAAATAGAATTTGCAGCAGTTTATTATTTCTTTAACCAAACAGAAGGAAGATGAAGACAGCGACATTTCACGTTATTTTAATTATTTTACTTTCTTCTTGAAAGTATTCCGGAAGTTTTGCCAGTTTTTATTAACATTCACAGGGAGTGAGTATATCATTTAAAAATTTACCAGATTGAAAACTTTAAGGACTTGTATAATTTAGAGGAAAAACAGCTAGGATTCTAAATATATATATGATATAAATAAATTAATTTATAGTATACACACACACATACATACATACACATATATTTATGTCATATTAAAGTGACCTTATAAATAATACCTTTTTCTGTAGGATAAACTATGATCATGATTAAAAGCTGATTTAATAGATAATGCTAGCTTTAATTTAAAATATTTAAGAACAGTTTCAGGTAAATGTATTTAAATGAGTGCTCTACTTAGCAAGGAAGTTAAAAGACCATTTTTTTTGGTTCAAAAATTATTTCATTCTTATTATTTAGTAAATATTTCAGACAAGGATTATTTTGAGACTATATTAAATGTACATTTTGTACACGTATGTATGAAATTAGCATTATAGCTTCTGTGGGGTTTTTTTGCATGAATTGTACCTTCTTTATGAGTTATTATTAAAGTCTTGAATTCTGAACTTGAGGAAATCAAATGGTTGTCATTATAATGCCACCTGTGAATAAGTTTGATCAGTGTTTTCTTTCAGGACTGAGGCAAATAGCAATGAAGTTCAATTTTGAGGGTGCCAGATTCTAAATAAGTTCTTGGGAAATATGCCAGAAAATGCCCAGATTGATAATGTTTTGTGTATAAAATTAATTAAGCCATTCTTATTAGACTGAAAGATAAATTTCCAAATACAGGCAATTCTGGCTCTTTCAGTACTTAAGACTGTTCCCTATGGTTAAAGGTATATATGACATGCCTATTTTTTTACTTCATATTTTTTTTTCTTTAACTTTAAATACACAGTAGTTGAATTTTTCCTTATTAAATATACAATATACAGTAAGAGAAAAGAGTGTGTATGATGCATGTGCACTTCTGTCTGCGCGCACACACACACACACACACACACACACCATTTAAAGATATGTAATTCCAACAGCAATTCTGTGACAGCAATTGGATGTCCTATAATTTGACACCTAGAGTTAGAGCAGACACATAGGTCAAGGGCTTAGCCCCACAAGACTGCCTCCACAACAGATGCCAGCCAGGAGTTTAAAGTATCCCAAAGCTACCTACACTTCTACCCCACTGACTCCAAATTCAGGGATTCCCATGACTGCTCATCACCACCCCCAGTTGTGATAATTCTCTAGCATGACTGACTGGACTCAGGAAAGCGCTATGCTACCTACTCAAGCTTTATTATAAAGGGGCAAAGTATGGGACGCAGGGAGTGCAGAGCTTCCATGGCCTGCCTGGGTGTGCCACCCTCTCAGCACATTGGTGTGTTCACCAACCTGGAAGCTTCTTGAGCCTGGTTGTTTCAAGATTTTTTATGGGATTTCATTGAGTAGGCATGATTGATTAAATCATTGGCTATTTAATTGAAAATCTTTAGTCCCTCTCCCCTCCCTGGAAATTGGGGGATAGGCCCTGAAAGTTCCAACTCTATAATCACCTTGGCTGGTTTTTCTGGTGACCAGCTTCTATCTTGATGCTACCTAGCGTCTCCCAACCCACCAAGAGTCACCTCATTAGCATAAACTCAAGTGTGGTTGAAAGGGGCTCAGGAATGACAAAAGACATTTCTATCACTCAGCAAACTCAGGAGGTTTCAGGAGCTCTACCAGGGACCAGGGACAAAGATCAAATAATTTTTTTATTATACCACAAGAGAATAAACAAGTGAAAACATAATACCCAACGCCTAATTAAGAAATAGAATACCAAGGTACCTTTTTAAGTCTCTTATGTCTCTTTCTTAATGTATTCCCCCTTCTTCTTTCCCAGAGGAAACCACTATCATGAATTTTATATTATTCGTTACCTTGCTTTTCTTTAGAGTTTAGTTAATTATAAGGCTACTTAGGTGTATCCCCAAAATATGCACTGTGTCTTTGCTTTTTTTTAACCTTATTATGAATGTAGTTATTTTGCATGTATTCTTTTGTAACTAAGTTTTTTTTCCATTTAACACTGTTTCTAAGAGTAATCCAAATTTATGCATGTAGCTATAGTTCATTCCTTTTCACTACCATATAATATTTTGTATTAGAAATACAACACACTTGAGTTATCTGCTATATTGCTTACTATTATGAACTAAACTTATCAGCATTCTCAAACATGTGCAAATGTTTCTCTGGCTAATATGCCTAGAGGTGGTGTTATGGACTGAATTGGGTTTCCTCAAAATTCAAATGTTGAAGCCCTTACTCCTAATACCTCCCAATATCTCAGAATGTGACTGCATTTGGAGATAGGGTCTTTATTAATAAAGAGGTAATTAAGTTAAAATGAGACCTTTGATGATGGTGGAGTGGCGAGGGTGCCCTAGTCTGGTCTGATTGTTGTCCTTATAAGAAGAGGAGATTAGGACATACAGAGAAATGCTGGACATGTGCATGCAGGGAAGAAAGGCCAGTGAAGACACTGCAGGAAGACATCTGCAATGCCTGGGAAGAAACCAAACTTTATTCTTGGACTTCTAGCCTCCAAAACTCAGAAAATAAATTGGTGTCTAAGCCACCCAGTCTCTAGTATTTTTGTTATGGCAACCCTAGCAAACAAATACAGTTAGAATTGCTAGATGGTAGGATTATGCACAAGTTCAGTTAGCAACGCCAATATTTTTTTAAAGTACTTGGACTGATTTACAATCCTACTGGCATGTATGAGAATTCTTGTTCTACATCCTCACCCAAACCTGATATTGTCAGACTTTACTTTCTCCAGTCTGTTGGAAAGGAATGGAATGTTATTGTCATATTAATTGCATTTTCCTGATAATTAAGGAAAGTTGAATATCTTCATGCGTTTCTTGTTTCTATATCAATAAAATGCCTGTTATATCTTCGTCCACTGTTCTGTTATGTTATTTGTTTTTTTATTACTGATGGGTAGGAGTTAATTTTAATGAAAGTTAAGATTTATCCTTTAATAACCTGTCTTCTTTTATGTCTTATTTAAGAAATTCTTCCCAACCTCCAGAGTAAAAGAATATATTCTCTCATTTTTTTTCTGAATGTTTTACATTTGAATCCTTAATGTACCTGGAATTGATTTTTTTTTAAGTTTGGTTTGAGGTAGATATATAGTTTCATTTTTTTCCCATGCTAATAACAGTTGTCCTAGTCCTATTTATTGAATAGTCTTTGGCAGCTCTGTTATACATCACGTCTGCCTATGATGTGGTTCTCTTTCTTGTCTCTAATTATGATTTTTGTCTACCTCTAGACCAGCATCACATTGTCTTAATTCCTATGGTTTTATAATAAATCTTAATATCTGGTAGTAAGTGGATTCTTTTGTTTTAAATTATATATATATATATATATATATATATGTATGTATATTTATTTATTTAACAATTGATATGTGTATGATCTTGAACCTTTCAAATGTGGAGAATAGAGCTAGGTGTGTTTAAGCATAGGAAATGGTCTTTGCTCCAAAGACTAAAAAAATTCTTTTCAAGGCAACTCAAAATCAAACCAGTGAGCCTTCAAAACAGCCATTTCTAATATGAAACCAGGGTTTTTGGGGTATTAGGGATGGGGTTTTAGGTGGAAAAAGGTGGTCCCTGTGTTGATAGTTGTTGAGGCTAGTTGGGTATATTTTATAGGTTTCAGTAGTTTCTTTTCTTAATAAATATATAATGTATCACTTGTTAGGTAATTATATTGGGCCTTTAATGACTACTTCTTTCGTCTTTGTTAAGATTTTCTACTCAGAGAATTCCATTTCTTCAGCAAGGCCTAATGATACATCAGGTAAATGTACATAAAGTTGATAGATTTGAAGATCATACTTTTTGTTACTGTTATGAAATTTTTCAAAGAGAATACAGTAAAATGAGCCCAACAACCCAACACCTGACTTCAACCTTTATGAATATTTGGCCAGTTTTGTTTCTCTTCCTTCCCCCTCCTCATACACACACACCCTTCACACACCCCATCCCACTCTCAGCCAGAATTATTTTAAAGCAAATCTTAGCTGTCACTTCATCTAATATCCAGTGTTCAGATTTTTCTAATTTTCTCAAAAAAATTATTTTCATGCTTGTTTCTTTGAATTGGGATCTAAACTATATCTATACATTTCATTTGATATTTCTTATGTCTCTTTTAATATTCAACTAGCTCTCTTCCCCTCTCTTTCCTTGACATATATTTGTTATAGAGATTGGGTCATTTGTCTAGTTGAATTTCCCATATTCTGGATTTGGCTAATTTCATCTTTGTACTATCACTCAATCTGTTCTATCATGTGTATTTCCCATAAACTGCTATTTAATGGTAGATGATTGACTAGATTATAGCTTGACTTTTTTTTCCAGAAAGTGGGGCAAAATACTTATGTGGTAGCCTATAAACATTTTATTGCATTCATATCAGGAGGTGAAAGTCTTCAATAATATTTTTCAAAGTGTCCTAATATACATGATTAAGGATTATAAATGTGTTCTGTAGTCTTTTCATCTCTAATCTTCCTGTTTTTACAGATGGGAAAACTGAGGCCTAGAGAGTTAAATATTTGCCAAAGACAACCAGCTAACTTAATAGAAGTAGGGCTTTTTTCCACCTAATACTCCTTTCAGAATTTTGCTTCAGTTGTATATGCCTTCGTCTGAAGGTTTTCATGCATCAGAATAATGTCAGAGGTGGTCAGGATGGCATTTCTGCCTGTTCCAACTAGAGATTTTGTGACTGAGAAGGTAAGACACAGTACATGTGTAACTGTGTAAAGTTTACACACTAGTAAACCACTCCCTTGAGTGGTTCTGTTTTTGCATTGCCAGTGTGATAGCTAAGACTTGAGTTTGAAAGTAATAGTCAGAGGGGCCTTAGACAGGACCTAAGCCTGAAGCTTGGTAAATCCAGGATAGGAAGAATGCAAGAAAATCTTTATAGGCTACAATAGTATTTAGTTATTTGGTCCTAAATAATTGTTTTTGTGTGTGTAGAATTGTTCACCTCATATCTTTTTTTTAAAAATAAATTTATTTGTTTTATTTATTTATTTTTGGCTGCGTTGGGTCTCCGTTGCTATGTGCAGGCTTTCTCTAGTTACGGCGAGCGGGGGCTACTCTTCATTGCGTTGCGCAGGCTTCTCATTGCAGTGGCTTCTCTTGTTGTGGAGCACGGGCTCTAGGCATGTGGGCTTCAGTAGTTGTGGTGCATGGGCTCAGTAGTTGTGGCACACAGGCTTAGTTGCTCTGCGGCATCTGGGATCTTCTTGGACCAGGGCTCGAACCCTTGTGCCCTGCATTGACAGGCGGATTCTTAACCACTGCACCACCAGGGAAGCCCTCATTTCTTTTTTTTATTATTATTTTTAAATTTAATTAAATTTACTTATTTATTTTTGTCTGTGTTGGGTCTTTATTGCTGTGTGTGGGCTTTCTCCCCTTGCGGCAAGCGGGGGCTACTCTTCCTTGTGGTGTGTGGCCTTCTCACTGCTGTGGCTTCTCTTGTCGCAGAGCACGGGCTCTAGGCATGCGGGCCTCAGTAGTTGCGGTGCACGGGCTTAGTTGCTCTGCAGCATGTGGGATCTTCCCAGACCAGGTCTTGAACCTGTGTCCCCTGCATTGGCAGGCAGATTCTTAACCACTGCTCCACCAGGGAAGTCCCTTCATTTCTTTTTATATTGTTATGCTTTGTTTCCCATTTTAGTTTTTACTTGTCTTATAAATATTAGCTGTAAATTCATACTAATTTGAAGAAAATGAATTAATGTAACAAAATATAGGAAATGAAAACTAGAGGGCAGTTACATTCCTCTACAGCTTACCTAACTGAACAGATGCTGTGAAATCAGTGATGTGAAAAATCTTCTAGAAATCTTCACAGAAATATCTTGAGTTGCTTCATCTTTTGATGTGTAAAAGTGGACTGTAGTGGCAGGCTCACTGCTTTCTTTTTAGTGAACTGACGGGAATTTGCAAAAACAGTGATTGTAGGTATATGACAAATAAATTTATCATTTAAAGCCATTGCCTTGATCATTTTTTAATACAATAGAAATGAGCTGATATGGAGAAAGAAAGGTTTATGACTAAAATAAAAGTTTCATGAAATAATACCTTTACTTTGTAAGGGAAAAACATTATTACATACAATTTCACTAATGTTTAAATGCAACATAGAGAAATAATCCCAAATAAACACAATACAAGTAAAAATCGGGAACATTTTATTTAATGTGATTAGTATGCTGTCTGTTCATTCCAGTCTGAGATACACAAGGTCAGTTCTCACATATCCGATTAACCCTGTTTCTTTCCTTTGTTTTTAATTGGATAAACTATTAAAGCACTAGTGAGTAGTACTACACTAATTCTGCTTTTCAGTGGACAGTCTTATTTCATCCAAGAGGATGATAAATTTAATGTCTCATAATCATTCTTTAGTGTTTATGAAAAGTAAGCTGTAATATTTCGTATTCTTTAATTACCAAGTGTGTATAACTCAATTTTTGATTGAGTCTTAGAAAGCCAGTGAATCTACCAGATTTTTTTTCTTGAATGCATCAATTTTTTTTTTTCTGGGATATAATGGTTAAAAGTTTGAGACAGGCTGGAAACAGTAAAAAATAGACAAAATATATGAAACAATGTTTTTAAAGACACTGGACATCTGTCAGTGAAGAACAGGCAATAAAGGACATGAATTCTGAGTGAGAGGAAACAAACAAGGTGAATTCTGTGATGACTCCAGCTTACTGCCTTGAGAGAATTTCCAGGCCTCAGCACAGCCATGGGGACCACAGGAAGAGCCTGGTGGGGTCCCTCGTTTGATAAGATAGAGCTGAGAGCCGGTGAAACCAAAGTGGCTAGAGTTTGCAGCACAGAGTACTAGAGAGGAGAGCGCTGCACAGAAAGAGAACTCTGGAAATCTGGAAAGAATCTCCCTTGAGTTTTCAGGTGAGTTCTGATCAGTGCATGCAAGTGAGGAAATTACCTGAGGCCAAGGACCACCTGAAAGTATTAGAGGTAATAGACCCCAGCTCAAAGAGGGCTGGAAATAATGGCTGTTCCCACAAGACATACTGGAAAAGCATCATTCACAGAGCAGTGGATAGAGTACATAGAAGGGTCTTGCCTCAATTGTGGGGAATAATTAGCCCTAGGCTGAGCACTGTTGTGTCTTGTATTTAAAGCAAGATCTGAAAACATCAAATTGTTCCCCAGTAAATGTGCCAGAACAAAGACCTCCAGGAATACAAAAATATCCAGTACCTAGAAAGGTAAATCTTTCATTGTCTGGCATCCAATCAAAAATTACCAAAGATGCAAATAAGTGGGAAAATAGGACCCATACTAAGGAGACAAATCAATTGAAACTGATCCAGATGTTAAAATTTGCAGACATTATATTGTAACTATTCCATATATTCAAAAAGTTAAGTAGAGACATGGAAGATAGACCAAACTTCTAGAGATGAAAACCGCAATGTGCGGAATATAAAACACTGGGTGGGATTAATGGCAGATTTGACATTTCAGAAGAAAAGATTTATGAGTTTGAAGACATGTCAATAGAAACTATCCAAAATCAAGCACAGAAACAAGACAATGAGTAAGCTGTGCACAACTTTCTAATACGCCTGTAATAGGAGACTAAGAGATGGGGAAAGAAATCTGAAGAATTTATTTAAGGAAATAGCTTAAAAGTTTTTTTAAATTACAGAAACTGTAAACCCACCGATCTAAGGAGATCAATGAACCCCAAGCACAAGAAGCATGAAAACAACTACACCAAAGCACATCATAATCAAATTGCTTAAAACCAGTGATAAAGATAAAATCTTTAAAAACACCAAAGGAAAAAAAGCATTGTTTCCAAGATGAGAATGACATCAGATTTCTTTTAGAAAATATTCAATTGAGACATCAATAGACAAACTTAAGTAATGTATTAGAAAGAACCCTGTCAATCTAAAATTTTATGCCCAGGAAAATATTTCAAAAACAGGTGAAATATTTTTCAGACCAAAGCTGAAAGAATTCATCACTAGCAGATCTGTAATGCAAGAAATGTTAAAGCAAGTCCAGTCTTTCAGGCAGAAAGAAATACACTAGAGACTGGCAAACTATAGTCTGCAACCTTGTTAGTTTACTGCCTGCAATGTAAGAATAGTGTTTACATTTTTTAAATGTCATTTAAAAATATCTCCAGAGATTGTCAAATGCTTCTTGGGGTGCAAAACCGCCTCCAGTTGAGAACTACTGGCTCTATATACCCCAGTTAAAATGCAGAGATTGTTGGATTGGATAAGAGAGCAAGACC